GAGTAAACACGGACGAAGTCAGATGTTGCTAGACAAACAGCAGTGGGATTAAATGTAGAAGGTAAACCCAGAAGAATAAGATGATGATGGTGATTATTATTATTATTATTATTATTATTACAGCCGTTTTGTTGGGCCTTGGCCGCTTCTTCAGTTTTTTGAGCCTACACACAGTCGGTACGTCTCCTTGGACGGTGATCAACCCGTCGCAAGGGCTCTCCCTACACACAGAATAAACACACACAATACAGACACGATCCCAGTGTTCGAGCGGCCGAAGACAGTTCATGCCTTAGGGCACGCGGCCACTGTGATCGGCAAACCCAGGAGATAAAGAATAATAAACTAAAACATAAAATCTCAATTATGGATAAATTAATGAAAGGCAGAATAAGAAGGTTTTGTAGAAAGGACTGTGTTGAAATCCGAAATACTCTTCTTAACTAAGTAAGTAAAGTAAAGCTATCCCTGTAACAGGCCGTGAAGGCCCATAGGGGTGTGAGACGTTGAGGCTTCCACATTATCTAGACAATCGGCTCACAGATGTCGGTAAGGTTGTCAGCCTTACACGCCGGCCGAGCTTTACTCCCCAGGAAAATTATTTAATTAATTCCTGGTACACATTTCTGTTAGAGGCTGAGTCGACCCCAGGGCCATAGTGCTGCTGGAAGGATTAGGTCAATTGAAAAAAATCCAATGACCTCATCGGAACTTGAACCCGCGACCTTCCGGCTTGTAGCATAGCCCCTCGCCTCTTCTCAACTAGAAAACAACTTCTTGATGTAAAGTCTGAGGAAAACTTGTAGCGAAAGGTACCAGATATAAGGAAAGCATGGGAAGCAACTGAGGAGTACCGGGGTGGAGAGGCTCGGTGCCTACACGCAAACGCGGGGACGCCTGACGGCGAAGACAAAAGAAGGGGCCAGAAGAAGAAGAAGAAATGCGTAGACTTTGTACTGGAGGTGAAGTTCTCACAGCGGTGACTATGCAGTGTTCAGGGTTGTAACACCGTGCAATTTGGTAAAAGTCCACTGACGTTTCTGAGGAGCGTGTCACTTCCATCTTCAAGATTTAAGTTTAAGCCAAAGAGGAAACCAACAATAAGCAGGCGACACGCAGAGCAAACGTAATTGTTATGTGCTTCCTTCTTACCCACTAGCCTTTCACTTATTTGTTATGTATTCAGTGGCGCTACTGTTATTTGCTTGTGAACGTGGGCGCTTTCTTCTGTAGGTACCAAATGGCGATTTATTTCGCCCTCACAGAGACTCATATACCCTCATTTGTTTGTGCTGCAAGTCTGTGTGCAGCTGTGCAGGTATTTGCAAGAGCAGGGACTCATTTTAGTGAGCAGACCAAGAGTGTAACAACACTCACACTCAAAATGTATAGGCCGACAGATGCCTTTCACGAATAACCATGTTAATTCACTGAACATCATCTTCACATAAAAATGTTTCGCGCTTCAGCCATATTGTTATTACCCGTTCTATTAAAAATAATACCTCAATAAGACTTTAGGCTGCTCTGTTCTGGGATGTGACTCCGTGAAGTGTAGTAACAATTACTAACGAAAAAAATCTGCTGCCTCGTTCTTCAGGTTCTAAAGGCTGAATGTGGAGGCAATAATTTTCCCAGAAGCGTTGGTAATTATCTACCAGAATACATGGCGTCACATCCCAGAAGACGCAGCTTCGACGTTCATCATTGCGAGAACCTAAATTACAGTATAATAAGAGGTCTGTAATTTTTCTAGGTTTGTGAGACGTCAAAACTTCCACATTTTCTAAACAATCGGTTCACAGATGGCGGTAAGGTTATCAGCCTTATGCACCGGCGGCCATTTATCCCCAGGAAAATTTGTGGTACTCATTTCTATTGGAGGCTGGGTCGAACCCAGGGCCACAGAGACCCTGGAAGGATTGAGTAAATTGAAAAAAGTCCACCTAATCGGGACTCTAACCCGCGACCTTCCGGCTTGTAGCATAGCGCCTCAACCAACTACGTTACACGCACACCAGTGAACAAAAGCCTTGAATGGAATATTGCCCATACCAAGGGGGGAACCCGACTGGGCCCTTGGCATCCTTTCGAAATTTAAATTCATAGGACAGAATTTTTGGAGCATGATGGGTTTTTACGAGTATCAGATGGAACTTTGCCTTATCTTGGACGAATAAATTACAGCACAAGGTGGCACTAGAAATGGCCCTGTTCACTTCAGTAACAGGAGCTGTCGAATGCCCAATACGTTGATGGGAGTTCGGAAGTTGGCAGATGAACGAAACATTTCCTTTTTTCTATATATTGCTAGTGGGATGGGACAAAGTCCCTTTTACTGCAGCCACTTCTGGCCTATTGTACCAGCCCCAGATGATAGGTGAGGTGATTGTGGAGCAATTGGTGGAATGAAGATTGGCAGGGGAAACCGAAGTACTCGGAGAAAACCTGCCCCAGCGCCACTTTGTCCACCACAAATCCTACTTGACCAGATCCGGGATCGAACCCGGGCTGCGGCGGTGGGAAGCCAGCGACTAACCGCTTGAGCTATGGCGCGGCCAAATATTTCCCTACTTTAACACTGGTGCCACCCAGTGAAGTCTGTAATAGATTATCAGATGCTCCAGCTACTGATAGTACGACCTAGCCTACAATATTTCAGAATTTTCTTCTTTTTTTCCACCAGCGTTACGGACCGCAGAGCCTTTAAGTGAACCTCAAATATTTATCAAGTTTGTGACATTCTCACATATCTTCAGATTTCCATGAAGAAAGTTTTGTAATACGAAATGTGAAGAGATAAAAAAATCATAGAATTCACCACGAGTAACGGGAAATATCTCATTAACGGAGAAGTATAGTTGTTCCAGGACATGACAATTACGGGACACCTATTTAAAACGCAGATAATATATGAAAATTATGTATATATGAAGTGATACAAAAATGACAACAGTAATAAAATCAGCTAAATTTATGCAACATAAATTTTTGGGAAATGATCCAGCCAACTTTCTTTATGTCTATTTCTTGGGTAGCGCTGATAGCCTGTTCTGCTTTCCTGATGTCCATTTGTGCTATTTTTCTTCGGGAGTGCCCAATGTTATGCCAACATTCTTGAGGTTACGAGATGCCCCATGCTTGGGGAAGGTTCCTAGTCGCGCTTCGCTAGTATCAGGTTCCACTGAAATCGCTGAACCGAAGTTTGCGGTCAAGTAAACAGTATTCCTACTTCACATCCGGGAGCGGCCGAGTTTAATTCTCTGCTTGGATACCGCTTATTGTGGTTGAGGACTTGCTTGGATTTCCTCGATCCCTGCGGGCAAAGGTCCAGACCTTTCCTGCACTTTCCGCATTCACAGTTCCCTTGTCCCAGCATCTGACGTCATTCATTGCGAGCTGTTGCTGTTTATATCCATGTAGGAATGAACCAAACCAAACAAATGTCAGTTCAGTTAATACTGGTAGATGATCTAGGAAGATACTATCTTCTGGTATGTGATGCCGTTTAATGTGGCACTTGTTTACCAAAAATTTCGGAGGAATGCACCGCCTCAGTCTTCAGGGTTGAAGAGTAAGCTGATCAATCACTGCTTGCTGTTTGCTCCATGCCGATTTCTTACTGGTTTATCCTTATACCCTGAAGATGGAGGCAGTACTTCGCTCCGAAAAGTCGGTAAGCTTCTGTGAGACTATAAAGCGTCAGAGCTCTTCACGGCCGATCAGTATATGTAAGAACTATGTGTATGTTTAGCACGCACAAAGTGCCCAGAACTGCACGCGTATGTACTAGAGAGGCTCTTGCGCTTGCTCTTCCTCTTGCCGAAGATCCACGAGTCTTAACGAACCGAGAGAGAAACTTTGTTGTGCAGTTGCCACATGAACAGGAATTTCGAAATGCGCCGCTTCACTCATTTTTTAGACCGTTTACGTTATAAATGTCGCTGACGTAACATGACACACATATGTGACGAAAATCGGCATGAAATTTGCAGTTATGAGAGAGAGAGGTGTGCCGTCACATCAGCTGTTCTTCTTTGTTTTGTTTTTTGGGTCTTATTAGCTTTTTTAAATCCACAACCTCAGACCCTGTTTCATTAACATCCATTTTAGTATTATACTCCTACAGCCGCCTCTATATTCCAAGTGATATTTTCATTCAGGTTTTACACTAAAATTATGAACATATTTCTTATTTTTCCCACGAGTGTATACGTGACCATGTCATCTCATTCACCTACACCTGATCACTCTAATAATATTTTGCGAAGAGTACCATCTGTGGAGCTCCTCATTATGATTTGTGATTCTCAGAGTCGTCGTTATGAGTTCTACTTTCTGGAACATAACTCCCTGTAGTCCGTTTAGAACTAACCCACCTTTCGCAGGAACACGGCGTCTCCATCATCAGAGTCGAAGAATAATCCAAGCAAGAAAAACCTGCTTGCTACCTGCTTTTATGCTGCTTTCTTTTTCGGATTACTCCACTACCCTGAAGATGCAGACAACATGTTCCTTCGTAACGTCGGTTAATTCTCAGCGGACTAAACGATGTCAAATCCCAGAATACATGACTTTTCTCCTATTACTTGCCCCTTCTTAGATCCCGGGTCTGGTCAAGTGGGATTTGTGGTGGACAAAGTGGCGCTGGGGCAGGGTTTCTCCGAGTACTTCGGTTTCCCCTGCCAATCTTCATTCCACCAGTTGCTCCACAATCATCCTCACCTATCATCTGGGGCTGGTACATTAGGCCAGAAGTGGCCGCAGTACAAGGGACTTAGTCCCACCCCACTAGCAATAAAAAAATTTTCAAGATATTAGACAGGGGCGGGAAGCATGGCAGCGAGTAGTTATTTCAACTTTATGAATGCAATTTTTATTCTGAGATATTTAACTTGCGGTCCTCGGACTGCGAACTACATGCAAACAGAAATGTTGAGAATGTGTTGCAAGCTTATGGCCTCAGAAAACAGTCATCATAACGGAAAGTTGGAGCTTACCTTCGTTAGAGTAGAGCAGTAGAAAACAGCTGAAAGTGACGATCACTGATCTTGCTGTTGTCATGATGCGGTCTCCACGGGAACCGGTCCTCATCCTCGCGCGTGACTCTGTCTTGCTTCGACTGCAAACTAAATAGGTAATATTACAATCCTGAAGTAAAATCCTGTTCCTTTACCATCTTAACCTAAAATATCAGTGGGACATATCGACCAGAAGGCGCGGTGAGTCGTTTTCGTTCAGGGTAGTTACCCAGTGCTCACTCTCCTGGATCATTAACGACATGGTTGTTAACTGACATTTGATAGGAAGTTATTTGAACTGCTCTAGACAACGGCCGGAGATTATTGTCTTATGATTATTAGCTAATTACATAATATACAAGGTAATTTGAGGTATCCAGAACCTGGGGTCGACTCAGCCTCTAACAGAAATTAATACTAGGGATCTTCCTGGGGTAAAGGGCGGCCAGCGCGTAATGCTGAAACCCTACCGCCATCTGTTAGTCGATTGTCTAGAAAATGTGGGAGCCTCGGCGTCTCACAACCCTATGGACCTTCACGGACTTTAAAGGTATCGCTTTTTTTTTTTTTCTTCTTCTTGTAAGAGAAACACGCAGGAGTAACTTGGAACTTTGGTACCATCTCAGAGTCAGGAGCCTAGATGACGTAGTCGGTATGGCGACTGGCTAATGGCTGTACGACCAAGAGTTCCAGTTCGAGTCCTTGTAGTCCAGACCGGCTGTGGAGCCTACCCAGCCCCCTATTCAATTGGTATAGGGGGCTCTTTCCCTGGGAGTAAAGCGGCCGGGGCGTGAAGCTGACCACTCACCTCCAATTAGTGCCGAGGTCAAGAAAATGTGGATCTATACATCCACTCCTCCAAACGTCTTCATGGCATAATGCTTGATTAGTTAAGCACAGGGACAACTTCGGTTTTTTTATGATCTCAAAATTTGCTTGAAGACAGAGGAAATACCAAGACCTGTGTGAAGGTAGCAATAGCAGGACCTTCAAGATGCATACTGAATTCTGTTCCGGTAAGAAAAGAACATAGAAGAGTAATGCAATCTCCTTAACAAGCTTCCTTTGGAACATAATATCAGCAATGTAATCAGTTGGTAATAACCTCTGATTCCCACGGCTGTACTAACACACAAAGATATTGCGACGTTTGCTCGGTACTTTGGCAATATGTATGCGAGCCGCCGCAGTGTGTAATGAATGTAGTAGGGCGAAAAAGTTTTCCTTTAATTCAAATGTTATATCTTTTATGAAATTTAGCTACTAAGCCCATACATTATGATGCTGATGAAGAAAGCAAAGTCACCCATTGCGCCTTCTATTGTGCAATGAGACAGTAATGAAAAATTTGTTTACATGTTTGCTTATCCCATATAGCTTCTTTTCATTTATATGCGTGCGGAAGAAAAAGAAATGCTTGTAATATTTTTTTACTTATTTGATATTTACAATCGAACGAGCAATGGCATTTTAGTGATAAAATAGCCTAATGCTTCAGACGTATGTGGAAGAAGAGGATACAGAATAATTCCAAGACAAGGTCTGTTTGCTTGACATATCCACCGAGGAATGGACAAAAGTCAGGAAAAATCTCTGTTACTTTATGAATGTCCGATATTGCCGTCAAAATTACAACGGGGACATCAGCATGCGAGTTCAAGCCACTGCACCACGTCCTCGACTTATGGAATTATACGTTACTAACATCGTGTTGGATGTACTGATAGTCTTAAGGTCGGAAAAATTCAGGGAACAAGTTCTCCGGGAGGGACTTTAAGCCGTGGGTCCCGTGTCGTAGCTTTACGGCACGTAAAAGAACTTCATATCTCCAAAGGAGGTCACTGAGCCAAATTAACGGACGTTTCCCGCCCAATAGCAGTCTCTAATACCTCTGGTAGATGGGGAAAGCATTATAGATACCTCTCAGCTAGTAGAGCCGGTCTCGCTGGCTGGGCGGGACTGATGGTAAGCACCAGTACCGGTAGGATATAGAGACTGGTAGAAATCATAGAGGGAAGCACAATGGACCAATATAGGTCTCAGTGCATGGGGAAACCCACCCTCTGCAATAACTAACTAACTAACTACTGATAGTCACTCAGCTAGTCAAGAAATCCTTTGTCCTTTATCAGTCAATCAATCAGTCAATTCATTCTACTCCATTTTGGAGCATAGAGCTTCCACGACGCATCATCAAAGGACTCTGTTTCCAGCCAGGCTCTTGACCTCTCTCCAGATCTTTCCTGCTTTTCGGACCTCTTCTTCAGCAGTTCTCCGCCAGGTTGTTGTTGCTCTGCCCCTCCTTTGCTGTCCCCGGGGATTCCAGTCCAGGGCTTGCCTCTCTATTGCACTATGGTCTTTACGTAGCGTGTCCTATCCATTTCATTTCCTTTTGTTGTTGTGGCTACTGGTTCTTCCTTTGCTAGTTTCCATAGGTTTTGTGTAATATTTCTTACCGTGTTCACAAAGTCTCACCAACCATCCCTGTTCTGTGGCAAACTGAATCCTGTCCTATCCACACATTCCATTCCTTTACAATTATTTGAATATTCTCCTTCATCTGGGGTAGGTTGTCCAACTGGCATTTTCCCTTCAGCTGTTCTGAACTGATAGGTTGCCAGAAACCATTCTTCGAAATTAAATACCAGTGATAAAGTTTTTTTAAGCAGACTTTCGATAGTTATTAAATTCTTTAACGGACGTTGCTTCGAAGAAAATTACGAACATAACCGTGGCGCTAGTAGCTTAAACATACCAAATCCAGGATATAATAAACATTATTTGTAAACACCTGCAAGTGATGGCAGTTTCGAGAGATAATTTTATACCTCCACCGTGTCTAATGGGTACACAGTCCTATTAATGGGATGAAGTAAAAACTGGATTTTACTTCATAATGTACCACTTCTGACTTGTCTTGATGACGAAACATGCTGAATCCACATCGGTTATGTGACCATTCGTCAAGTATCGCTACATCTGGTTTTGCGTTCATTTTAATCAGTTTAATACAGGTTCATGTTGGTGGGGCACTTGTGTCTCATGAAACACTTATAATGGATTTAGATACATCTGAGGACTATTTGGATGAATCGATGATGAGTCAAATATAGGAGACGTCCTACCATGGAAGAAGTCTATCGAAAGAACGTGTCTAATATTCGAAACGTAACTACAATTTCTTAAAGCAGACTACTGAAAGTCGACGTTATTGCACTCAACAGAAAATACTGAGCCAATAAAGAGGCACTAATCCAATCACAATATCTGATGGGCTCTATAAACTCTACAAGTATAGACCTAATCAAAGTAAGCGTGAGGACACTTTCAAGAAGAAAACTCTTAATCTACTATGGCCGGAATGAAGATCGAAAGGTGACGGTACACAGATCTCTGTTAATGAGTTTAACGAGGTTAAAGCAGGAAGAAAGTTGAACATACCACAGAAGAGAAAAGACCGAATGGTCTTGCAAGTCGTGAGACAAAGGAGGGTGCTAATCCTGTGGAGAAATTTTAACTAATGTAAAAGCTTAAAGTTCCGAGGAGGAGAAGAGGCGACGTGGAAGAAACGTGTTCTACCAGTGCTGAATATATGCAAGTGTGGCCTCGTTCTGTGAACGGCTTGTGGCAGAGAAGGCATGATACCGCAGCTACCCTCTGCACTTCGAAGGAGCAATTATTAGCTACAAGTTTTGTTGTTTGATTTATAATAGAATACAAGACAAATTACGATAATGCTGTGTGATTAACTCCCTCAGTTTTATTCTCAGATTTTCGGTATACACAATGAGACTCATTGCTGCTGCTGGCTAGGAGCTACAAGGAAACTGCAGCTGTCGAAAGGACGATATGCAAGCAGTGAGTGGAGGCTCTCTTTCAGAATTCCGATTTTCCACCAGACACATTAACAGTAAACTTGGACTTAAATCAGAACCAATCTTTGCCTGGAAGTCAGATTAGTCACGGGTGTTGTGGCTGTTAAGCCTGATACTGTATATTTTTTTCTTGGCACTACAGCCGCAGTGGGCCTAAGCCTACCTCCATGAATTTCTCCGTTCACTTCGGTTTTTCTAGATCTTACACATTCGCTAGGACTCCTTGGGCGGGTGATCAGCTCGTCACAAGGCCTCTACCTATAGACAAACACAGAAAAACGCACACACACAAACTAAACATCCATGCCCTGAGTGGGATTCGAACCCACGATCCCGGTTTCCAAGCGAGCGAAGACGAGACCGTCTATTAGGGATAATTAATTGCAAAGAAGTTAAGAACACTTTTCCCAGACGCCAATCACTTACATAGGTGGTTGCAAAATGAAAGTGGAAGATGTCTGAGTGAGACTAGTCTTTAATCTAAATTTCAAGACCACTTCATGTGAGCACTGGTGTTGTCTCTGCCTGCTGTGTTTCGCAGAATAAAAACTACTGTGCGCTGTTCACGTTCCGTGTCATTGCGTCACAAGATGGCTTAAGAATGAGTGGCTGTTTCCTGTATGCGGCCACTCATACAAGCCTTGGCACAGACCTTTTGACATCCTAGAAAACAGAATAATGAAACTGGGTAATATTTTATTTCCAAAGGAGTATGAATGCCTTTGGTAGTACTAATACTTTCCATTCAGTAAATTCTGCCCTCTACATTGTTGGTAAGAATTATACAAAAAGGCATTCAAGACCAGTCTCAAGAATGGTTCTTTTTTATGCTCTAGATATTTCTTTTTAATATACATCATTATCATTACCTAGGAACAGCATATAAGAGACTTAAATACAATTAGTAATATATCTATAATTTTAAAACATATTTGTATCCACATATAGAGACCTGCTCGAAATTTAGAGTTTAAATTAAACATTAAAATGTCGCACATTCGCAATCGAAATAACCAGTAAAATTTCGGAATCTGTGACATGATGATGATGACCATGATAATTTGCTATTCCTAGTTATTTTATTGCGAAGATTTGAGACGTCCAGTGCTCCTCCCTTCTGGTAGCACGGGCAACTTTGAAAACTAAACAACGCGTTGTTAAAAATTAATCGAATGCATTTTCGGAAAACGAGCACGTGTCAACCCAGTGGCATAACGTTCTTACCGAATTCCT